TTCTTGCTGAGGTGTCTCCAATTCTCTACTTCGAAGTTTTCTACGATTGTAAGTCACTTCGAAGCTTTCTCTTGATATATGACCAAATTTATCTAAGACATCATTAATTATAATATCTTTATGAACTTTTACTACTAATTGAAATTCCACACTAAGCACATACCAAAATAACTTACTTGTGTTTTCCTCTCTGACTTTTCTTTCTTATTCCCACTTATTCTTCCTTCACTGTTCTTTCTTTATTCTTCTTTTACTGAAATCTGAATTCAGAAGTTTTCCTTTACAGCAAAATTCTGCTCCAAGGCTTCAATTCCATTTATCTTTCCTGTTGTTTCTCCTGCTGGAATCTTACTCTCCATTCTTTGAACAATCTACGGGATCTTCTTCATACCAGATGATAATTTCCTTTCTTAGCACTGAGCCGAAGAACTCTACCCAGCAATCACTATATCGCTATTTCCAGCCTGCTGTAATTCTCAGGATTCCTAGTGCCGCCTTCTACCACAGAGCCAAACTGATCTACAATTCCTGCGGCCCTGTAGCGAAATATGCTACAGTGATTCCTGCTACTGTGCCGCAGCCTTACTTTGGCCGAACCAGGAAATCAACGGAAGAAGCACTGTGCCGATAGTTTTCCTTCAGGGAATCTTCAGGAATTCCCGCACCAAACCACCTTATACCTACAACCACTATGCTGAACACTGAAGCAGTGCAAACTGCACTATGCCGACTCCCTTATCTTTCCTGCTTGCATGAATCCACAGGAATAAGGATAAGAGCTTTGTGAGGCCCCACTCACATTTGTATAACTGCTATCTCTCTCAACCCTACCTAAGCATCTATTCAGGAATACAGGAACTAAATTATATTTCTTAATATAATTACTAATAATTACATAATAATAATCTAATTATTAAAAATCACAATTCCACTAAAATAAATTATATTTACCTGCTCTGAAACTTTGGATATTACACTGGTGTCCCCATCAGATTGGCATAGTTCATCTTAAATGACTGAATCTATGAATGCTACAATTAAAGAAGTTTATAATGCATTAATCCATAGCATTGATAGTTTTATAGAGTTATGGTTTGTAGTGCATTTTTTTCTATTTTACTCTATTTGGATAGTTTATATGTAACTATTTTGTAGGAGATTGTAAGATGTTATCTAGTTGATGATGAACCCTTGAACATAATTGAAGTTGGTAATGTGCAAATTAAAATGGTTATTATGATTGGATGTAAGCTTCATAATTTAAGGAATACCCCTAGCTTGAATACAAACTTGGTCTCAATTGGATGTTTAGATGAAGGGAGTTACATCTTAACTTTTTGTGATGAAACTTGAAAGATGAACAGGGCATTACAGTGATTTCACAAGAAAGTAAAGATGGTAAACATTACATCAAACTTCTAAATAGTGGGAGTAATTATAGACTCAATTACAAACTCAAGCATGTGGCTTCCAATGTGAGTACACACAACTGAGAAAGAGATTAGGATATTGCAATTGAAAAGTAAGCTTTTTGGTTTGAACTCCTTGAATTTTGATTTCTATAAAGATTGTCTTTAGAAAGTATAGGAAAGTTGGAAGTCCTTGAATTAAGCCAGTCTTTGCTAGCGCTAGGACATGTGAGGATGTTCATGAGAACTAGGATGTGCGAGGATGTTCACGAGAACTAGGATTTGCGACGATGAAGTCGAAGAATGCGGTGATTTGAAATTTGTTTGTTTTAGCAAATTTTAAATTCCTCAAAAATAAAATGTTGGATGTATTCAAAATTTCTCGGAGAAATATTTTGCATTTCTGTCACACCAAACAAACACATAAATTCAAAACTCATTCACTTCAAATACAAGACACTCATAATACATTCAATCAAATAACCCTTAAACTTTCACATTTATAGTTTTTTGGGTTTTCTTTTAATTTGCATTAGAAACCTTCAGAGTGTTACTTAATTGATAATCTTGGCTATGAAAAGTTAACTATCATCAGGTGCATAGTGTTTTTTCAATGAGTATGTCATGTGCAAAGTCACATTTATATATGCAGGCCAAAATAGGTGGGTAGATTGAGCTTGAGAAAATGATGTGCATGTTAGTGTTTAAGTCATTAAGGCTGAGATACAAGCTTAGATAAATGAACGTGTGTTTGAGTTAAGAAAATCTTAATGGATGTTTAGGCATATACATAGTTACTTTCATAATTTGTATTATTTATTATTGGCAAATGCTGGTGGACTTGGAGGAGCTAATAGGATAATTTCTCTGTTAAGCGAGGGCTATCAAAGGACAGGCAGGCATTGCAAAATAAATGATGTTTTAGGATCAAGGAGGAGCATGATAACAAAGGGCTATAGTTTATGAATTTAATTAGTTTACTTATAACAAATTGATGCATTGCACAACTTTAGTTAACAGCCATGGTTGCTTGAGAGGGGTTATGATGCAGTCAAAAATTTGGGGAGGGACCCAAATTTTTGATCACAAAAACAAACTCTTCCTATAACTTAAAAGAGACTAAAATTTAACATAAGATAAGGCGACGACATTTGCACAAAACAAAATGACAATTTTAATATTATGAAAGGACTTACAAGACACTTACAAATATAGACGACTTACAAATGACTCAAACAAGACACCCTATAGTTGCTTCACATAGAGAAGAAGGATACTGATGGAGTGGCACTTGCGGATAGAAGAAAGAGATTAGAAGCCGAGACGAAGGTTGGAAAGAGCCCGCAGGATTTCCGGAGGGGATGAGAAAGAAGCTTAGAAAGAGCCCGCAGGATTTCCAAAGCAAAAACCTCTCAGGTTTGTCCCAAAAATCACACTTTTAAAACAGCCACAAAACTTCCTCTATATATAGGCATAAAAGAGGAATACAAATAGTCATTATAACCACTAATTAATTCAATTAAAAGGGGGGTAAATGAAAAGACAAAATTCAGTCCAGATTTATGTACAGGAATCTGTCCAGAAATCTGTCCCAAAACAGCCCAAAAAACCTGTCAAAAAACAGTCCAAAAAAACTGTTCATATTCCCATATAAATGAGGTGATAAAAGCCATCAATATTCCTGCACAGGAATCCCAAACAGCAGGGCAGAAAGTCACGGTTTCCAGCATAGGAAAACCAACAGCAGCAAGCCATTTAAAAGCCGCGGTAATAGCAACAAAGAAATCCAAACGGCAAAGCAAAGATCAAGGAAAAAAGCCACAGGTTTCCAGCACAACCGAGGCAGCAATTAAAGGGAATAAATGCCACAGGTTCCACCATAGAGAAACCCCAAATGCCAACATTAAAGCACATTGAAGGCCACGGTTCCAGCAGCCAAATGAGGGAAAATAATGCAGCAGCTCAAGAGGCAAAGAAGAAGAGGAAGAGACAAGTTCCACTCACCTAAAAGCTTGCACCTCATAATGAATTTATAGCTAAACATCAGCTCATAATGAGCTACACCTCCACATGATAATAATGAGCTTGCACCACTAAAATTTCAACAACTAAAGCTCAAAACCGAAATCAGCCAAGGCTCCCATGAAACCAGAAAATAGCCCAAAGGATAAGGAGGAGATGAAAGGACAAGTTAATGAAGAGCAAGGAGAGGGGGAAGATGAAAAGATACAAGAGAAGAAACCAAAAGTAAAACTCAACTTGTTTTGACCCCTCCCCTTGCCTACCTCAGGTTACCACACAAAGATGATTCTCTTAAGATTCTACATTAAAAGTTAATACGCAAATGGGAAATTATTAGACGTGGATACATTTCCTTAAAGTATTCTTGATAAATCCTTATAAAATTGAGGGGTTGCCACACAAAGATGACTCTTTTAACATGTTACTTTGAAAACTAATCTACAAGTGGGAGATTGATATATGTGGATATTTTCCTTCAAAGTTTTCTTGATAAATCCTTAGAAATTTGAAGAAATTTTGGTCATAAGTTATTGCAATATTGAAATATTCTAACATGAATCCAGGCATTTTCTTATTGGAATTTGTTGTTAAAATTTGTTTAGGTTATTGCATATATTTTTGCTAATTCTTAACAAATTTTGAAGTAAAAATATGATCAAACTGTTACCTAAAGTTAAGCCAAAGAAATCTCATTAATTTGCTATCATAATTGCTTTTCTAAATATCAGACTTCTTGCACCTTATACAATTATTATTTATTAATATCATAGTTGGAAGCAGAGTATTGTTTGTGATGGGTGCTTGTTGTTATTGGCTTGAGATTGATGATAAGTTTAACTTCCTTAGGGATGACATGAGTGTGATGTCATCAGTGGGCATCGGTATGGGATAATACGAAGTCAATTGAAGGATGAAAATGATAATTGCAGAGGAGAAAAGTCCGTTATAGCTTGAGTGTAATGGTGGTAGCCTTTGGTTGGCTTTGAGGATTGTGATAGTGATGTAAATGTAGAGGTTGGTTTATGTGAAAGTTTGGTTGTGGGCATTTGGATATTAGAACAAAGGCCAACGAGTTGTTCTATCCAGCAATAGATAAATAAATTTTCAAGTCGAGGATCAAGTATGATAAGAAAGTGATTAGTCTGAGTGGCATGCTTGGTCGATGGCAGAAATAATGGAAGATGGTGTTTATGCGGAGAAAGTTTTTAGGGTGAAAGTAAATAATATTTTATTTATTATGTTTGATCATATTTTGGATAGCACAGCTAAAAATGATGGAGATGTGTTCACTACCTTGATGATTGCTAATGAGGTTTGATGGGCCTTGTTATGTTTGCTTTGGATATTGGGGGCAATAGGAATTCGGATCTATCTTAATAGCATGTTCGCTACAATTAACTCATTGTTTTTATACCCATCCTATCATGTGATTTTTAGTAGCACACATGGTTTCTACTTAATTATCTATCATGTCCTATAGTTAATCCTACCTATTTAAATCCTGCTGCTTATAATTTATTTGTAACGAGTTGCTCCTTTGGTGTGGTACTGTGGCTTCATGTGCGAGTTGGCTCACAAAAAATTTCACCAGAAGAGCTATATTTATGATAATTGAATTTCAAATTGATTTTAGCTGAATTGAATTGATCTTGTGCTAATTATATATATCAACTCAAAGATGTGAAGGCATGCAAATTAATAATTTTTATTCAATAGAATTTTTTATTTCAATTTCACTCGTGTATGCAAGTTGGATGTGTGCTTTCTTTGATTGGAGTACAAAGACAACTATATAATTCTAGTGGAACTTATCTTTTTTACTTATGTGATGTTTAAATTTTCTTTATTTAGCTTTTTCTGAAATAACTTGCCAATGGCTTGCTAGAGTTTGTGATTTTGTTCAAATTTGATTCAACTAAACTTTTAATTGTGGTGGCAAAATTATAATTGCCCATTGATTTTTTATTTTTTCTAATTTTGTGTTGATTTATTCATATTTAATTAATCATTGTGTTATCATTTGCATTTGATTTTTCATATTTTTTTTGGTTTGTGCCTATGACAAACAAGTTTGTGTATTTTGTGGTATTTAACTTATAAATTTTGATTTTCTTTGAATGATTTATATACATTGCATCATTCTAGTTGGATTAAGAAATCCTAACCCTAAACCGTCTAGCATCAACAACTTATTTGGGGTACATGTTAAACCCTGATGATCTCCATCATGCTTCTCCCTTGATTAAATTTGTTTTTTAAATACTAAGAGAGTCATTTCGATGTTCTAGGGTACCACTGTGCAGTGGTGCTGGCTCATGTCCTTCTGTCCACTTTTGCTAGACTACGTAAAGCTTGAGTCACATTGTTTTGTGCTATACCATGGCAAGGCTCATTATGTACTCATATTCTAATTTGGTCCATCTTTTTATCTACTTTTAATTTATACTGAGCCAATGATTAAGCTGCTAAAAAGATTTTAAAAAGAAAAGAAGAAGAAGAAGCTGTGAATAGTGCGATATTTGAGAGTATCATAGCTTCCTAGAGGTAGATGCCTTTTATTGCCATGTTTTTCTTGTGCTGTCTTGTACGAGTAGAAGATTAGGAAGACTACAAATCCGGCCTATGTTTTTTCATTATCCTACTGGCTAGCATGATTTCTTAACAAGATAAGCAGTGCATGTCTTCCTATGAAATGATTCACAAACGATAGATTATACAAACCAGAATTCCTTTCTAATAGTACAGGAAAAGTCCGAGGATGTTTGATTCATTTGTGTTTTGGGTCTCTATTTCTTCTCTCTTACATAGAGCGAAATGACATGCTTTTTTTTAGATTTCTAGTTATGTGAGGTTGTCCCATGCTTTATATGAAATTGTTTTATTTGTAGAAGATCAGCTGAAGTGAATTGACGCACCAAGAAATGGAAGATAGAATTAATGTGAAGGATTATGAAGAGTAAGAGCTAAACCAAACATAATATGGCTAGAAGTTGTGCATAAATGAGTTAGCACCTCCTTCAGCATTCAATAGGAATGAAATGAGTAATAAATCTGGAATAAAATAGTTGGGAAAAGGTTAATTATGATGTGATTATAAACAAAATCAAGAGTGTCTGTAAGATGATTTAACTATAAGTTTGTTATGTTGAATTGCTGACCCGGCCCTATAGGTTTTGGTCTTGACAAAGAAACCTAATTATGGAACTTCAGATATAGGTCTCATACAAATTATTTTTTGTATCATGGCTTGGTTAACCATCTGTTTCAGGATCCGTATCATGGGCCTGGTCAAGCTATGGGCCTTGCCTTCTCAGTGCCAGAGGGTATCAAGCCTCCATCAAGCTTAATCAATATTTTTAAGGAACTTCACAAGGATGTTGGCTGTTCCATTCCCATGCATGGAAATCTGGAAAGATGGGCAGTGCAGGTAGTTTATAATGTTTTTTTGACGAAAATATTGTGTTTCATTACGGTTTCTTTCAGTCTGTTTGAAATTTGATTTTAAACCTTCTTCCTACGGATGCGCTTTTCAATATCTATGATCCTGTCGTTGATTGATATTCTGGAATGTTATGCAACAGTTTGCCCATGCAACATTTAAACTCTTCACTGTGCCATGAGGTCCTTCCCTATAACTTTGGTGTCCATCTTTCTATGGTAATAATTTACCTCTTATGTTGAAATTGTACATAGAATATCAGATGCAGAAATGGGCTGAAACAATGCTTATTGATACGCTTTTTTTTTTGGGGGGGGGGGATTCTAATCAAGGGGAGGAGTTGTTTAGGAACATTTTCTAATTGTTTTTATGTTATTTATGATGTTTTAAATTGTTTAGGAAAGTTTTCTAAAATATGTTTGATTGTTTTGGAAGATTTTCTAAATATGTTTGATTGTTTAGGAAGGTTTCCTAAATCATGTTTAATTATTTAGGAAGGTGATGAGGACATCAAAGATCTACGGCTACGATCGTTCCTATTTATTTTGATCTATTTTATGTATTTGATTTGTTATTATTTTTTTAATCTTTTCTACCCTCACATGAGGGCTTTGTTTTATGTATGCCCTAGGGGTAATAGTGTCTTTGTTATTTCCCCTTAATGTATTTTGGCTATTTAAAGCCACCCTCTTCCTTTGGAGAGGTTAATGAATGAATGATAAAATTTTCTTGTGTTTGAGTTCTTGTGAGGGCTTGAGAGAGATTGGAGAGAGACCCCTTGGAGAGGGATTCAGATCACCTACTAACCTTGGAAGAGTCCGGGTTTGTGGTTAGTTTATCTTTTATTGTTCTAATCTTCAAGGTTTTCAAAGGCGAAATCGGGAATCGATGTGTTTTTTTTAAACGAGGCGAGGTGTAAGCCTCGAGGCGGATCGAGGCGTAAGCCTTAAAACGATTAAAATAAATTAATTTTGAAATTATAAATAATTACAAAAAATAACAAAATATTATGTCAACTATGAATTTGAAGATTTGTTTTAAGATAATATTACTGGAATACAAGATTTAAAATAAACTCACTTAAAAATAAAACATCCCCTTAGGATGAAGACTCAAAGCAGGCTCATCATCACTTTGATTGTCTTCAGAATAATCTTCATAATTAATGTCAAAGTCATCCTCAAACTCTTCTTCATCTATAATATTTTTTCCTTTATCTCCTATATCAGTTAATATTTCATTAGCTCTAAAATGAAACAATAGTAACATATAAAATAATTCATTATATTTAAGAATACCTTTGAATTTTTTTGAAACTTCAATCTCACTTTGTTTCTTTCTTTTATATACGTGGGTAGTTGCTTCATTGTCTTCTTCATTGACATGAGTTTTTCCTTCTACTTCAACTTTAAAAACATCAACATTTTTAGGAGTAACCCATTCATCATCAGATTGTAACTCATCAACAAGCAAATGGTCAATTTCATTCTCAATATTTCATTGATTCTGCAATTTGAGATATCTATCTTTTGATTTTTTGTTAAACATAATATAAACTAGTTTGTTCATTCGATCTGCCGCCAATCGATTTCTCCTCTTTGTATGAATTTGATTGAAGATGCTCCAATTCCGCTCGCATGCAGAAGTCGAACACGTTAGACTAAGAACTTTAACTGCAAAAGCTTTCAATTCAGGAACATCATCTTCAAACTGAGCCCACCAACGTTCTACATGAGACAAACATAATATTTTATGAATATTGGTTGAAGTAGAAGACTTGAACATAAATATTAACATTAAAATTATAAATACTCAAACTATAAACATACCAGGAGATCGTGTTTTGTAGCATGTTTGTGCTGCTCTAAATCCAAACATTCCCTTCTTCAAATGAAAATCCTCAAGTTGATCATTTACTTTAAGGTAGTCTTCTTCAGAAATGAGTTTGTCCATACATGCATATAAACTAGTTTTCACCTCTTTGTCAACATGAAAATTCTTATCATAATGAAATTGAGGATTTAAATAGTACGCAGCAGCATGTAAGTGTTGGTGTAATTGTCGATCCCACTTTTTATCTATAATATCCCATATTTCTTTGTAGGCACTTTCTTGACCTCCCAATTCTTTTGCAATGTCTTCTTTAGCCCTATTCATTACTTCATAAATAAATCTCATAGCCGGGGCCCTCTCACCATCAACCATTCTAAGCACCTTTACTAATGATCATGTTGTCTTCAAAACATAATTTGTACTGCGCCAAAATGAATCGTCTTTCATAACAATCTTTTTAACTTGTTTTCTTTCTTGTTTTTTGGCCTATGAACTTTTATCCCGCTCTTCAAAAGCAAACATTGCTTTCAAAGGTTGTCTTAACTCCTTGAATCTCTGCAATGTTAAATATGCAGTAGCAAATCTTGTAACAGCAGGTCTAATAATTTTCTTGTCAGTGAATTTTTTCATCAAGCTGAGTACCCAAGAATGATTGTATATATACTTACTAATGAATTTGGCCTTCAATATGGCTGATTTATGTTGAGGCAACTGTCCCAACCTCTCAAGCATCAAGTCATTACAATGTGCAGCACAAGGAGTCCAGTAAAGGTGAGGCCTCTTCTCCATTAACATTCTTCCTACAGCTTTGTATGCACTTGCATTATCAGTAACAATCTGTACTGCTAAGGCATCTCCCACTTCCTCCACAACTTCATCCAATATTTCAAACAATAAATGTGCATCCTTTACAAAGCTTGAAGCATCTACTGATTTGAGAAAAGCTGTTCCATATGAATTGTTGACCAAGAAATTAATAATACTTCTATGTCGAATATCTGACCAACCATCTGACATTATTCTCACTCCTGTCTCAATCCAAGTCTTCTTAACATCATCCACCATTTTTGAAGTTGTCTTAACCTCCTCATTCAGCATCCAAGTTCTCAACTCATACATGCTTGGAAGTTGTTATCCTCTTTCATAGCTTCCAACATATCATTAATCCATGACGGACTCCTAACAACATTAAATGGAATCCCATTTTCATAGATGAATCTGGCGATATCCAAACAAATTCTGTTCCTGAGTTCTTTTGTAGCTGTAGTAGGCTGAATATCCTGAGTATTTATGTTTACGTCGTTATCAATATTTAGCATAAATCTATCCATGGGCCCCCGACTGCCTCGGTCAGAAGAAACTAGATGGCTTTCAGTACTGGAACCTTCATGTTGTGATCTATAGTAAGAAGAGTTTCCTATCATCTCTTCCATATTTCTTTGTGTGACCTCCTTTGTGGTGGCAAACTTCTTTAAATAATTTGTACATTCCTTCTTCACCTCATCAGGAACTTTTGCACATGGTCCCACATTGACATGAGTGCAGGCTAGATGATCCTTCAATCTCTTGACAGTTGACGCCACCAGTTATGCGTTTCTCACAGAAATTACATTTCATGTAAACATATCCCTTCTTTGCACCTTCACCTGACACTTCAACTTGAGTTTCATATTTTCATGCAGGATATTTTCTTCTTGTGTCACTAGTCATGCTAACAATAGGATATATTTTAACAATTATTTGTACTACCAAATACCAATAATAAAACAACATGAATATAAAAATATATCAGTCTGCCGGGGGTCCAAGGGGGCGCTGCCCACTGGCGGGGGTTTTCGGGGGCAGCGCCCCCGGAACAAAATTATATTATAAGAGTAATTTTGAAATTCTGCTTGTTGTATATGCTCAATACCGAGCGTACCGAGCATGTACCGCTCAGTACCGAGCGTGTACCGAGCATGTACCGCTCGGTACCGAGTGGTACGGAGCATGTTCCGCTAAGTACCGAGCATGTACTTGCTCGGTACCGAGCGGTACTAGCTCGGTACCGATCATGTACTGAGCGGTACCGAGCTTGTACTGAGCGGTATCGAGCATGTACAATCTGATGAAGCGAGACATGAAGCAAATAACGGGAAGAAAGATCATTACCTAGCCGTGAAAAAAGAACCTTCGATTACAGGAAGCTGGAGAAGAAGAAGCGAGACATGAAGCAAATGACGGGAAGATTACGAGAAGCAAGAGAAGAAGAAGAAATAAATCGTTACCTTCGATCGCCTCCAGCTATGTTCGAACTCGACCGAACTGTGGTCGTCGAAGTCGGCGGAGTTTGACTTTCAGTTCTCACCCAAAGCAGAAGCAGGTATGTTGCCCTAATACTCGACTCTTATACGACTCTCACCGTTTGGTCTATATACTTACAAATCGAAGCGGTGCCTCGTTTCGCTTCGAGGCGTTACAAACTGAAGCCTACGCTCTGTGCGAAATAAGCGCACGCTCCGCCGAATCCTACGAGGCGTAAGCCTCAACGCGCAAATGCTTCGCCTCGCCTTGAGTCGCGCCTAAGTGCGTACGCCTCTTCCGCCTTTTTAATCGTTGCTAATCTTCATAATTTATTCTTCCTCTAAGCCACGGTTCACCAATCCCCCACCCACTGGCTTCATCCCACCACCACCACCCTAACCAATCCCTTCTCCCCACCTAGCCACCTCCCCTATCACCCAACACCCTAGTCCAAACTGTCGGCCACCCCTTGGCTTTCCCCTCCCTCATCAATTGCCATTACACTTTTCCTAAATTCGTTCCTCATATTTTAGGTAACTCAAATAATTGCAAATTCAAATCTTTTTGAATTTTGAAATTATTACCTAAAATATAAATCCTATTTTAGGAAAGTTGTCAAATCCAATTTCATTTGAATTTTAAATTAAATTGGGATGAGATCTCTCTTCCCTAATTTAATTCCCTAAATCAAGAAGGCATTAAATACTCCCATTAATTCCTCCCATATCTTCCTATGCCGCCGGCCCCCCCATATAATTCCTCTTTGGAATTCTTTCCAAAAGCCAGGCCATATTCTTGGAAATAATTCAAGTGTTCCCTCCCCTCTCTTGGCCGAAACTCCCTAGGCCCTCACCTCTTTACTTTTTTTCCAAAATCAGACTTTTAACTTTGGAATTAAATCCCACCTCCTAATCTAATCCCACCGCCTCCTCTCAAAGCTCTTCCCACGTTTTCCTTCCTTTCCTGGAGACTCCAGTTGGCTGTCAACATATTCCAACATTATTCACTTGCTATCTTGCATCCTTGAAGACCCGAGATTGCTCTCCAGAAATTCTGGACTGTTTATGGTGGCTGCCTTGCCACCCGGAGACCATCGTGTGCTGTCCAAGAGCTTCATTTTGCTGTTTAGAGAAACCAGTCCAAAGATACTTGCTGCCCACCCGCCAAAGATCATCAAATTGCTGTCCCAAGGCAGCTAGAGGTTGCATGTAGCTGTCTACTTCCTCTCAAGCATATAACACCACACCGGAGCTTTGTTCAACATATTTGTTTGGGTGATCTCTCTTCCTATTCTTTATCTTTTAGTCGTTCTCAATTGTAGCTCTAATTGACTAATGGAAAATTGTGCTAAATTTTCCCGCTAAAGCCTAGCATTTATTAGGAGTTATGTGAGAGATCTTATAGCACTACCCTTATTGTTAGATTAGGGATTTCTTGTTGAAACCCATCTCGTATGCAACGTCAAGAGTAATTGATTATTATGAGGTTTTTACTTTTTGCAAGTGACTTGGCCTAAGCTTTTGTTATCACTCTTTTATTTTATTTCATTGTTTAAATTAACATCAAGCTTTAGTTAACTTGCTCTTAATCATCGAGCGTGCAAAATTCCTTATCTAAATCAAATTTTCATGCGTGTCCTGCATCAGAAGGTTTCTTAAATTATGTTTATGTTGATTAGAAATGTTCTATTTTTTTAGAAATGTTTTCTAAATTATGTTTATGCTGATTAGGAAGGTTTTAATTGTGTTATGGTGTTTTAGAGCTATTTAAGGGGGAGTTTGTTTGCCGTCTCGGAACCTTCGTGTGGTTAGGAGTAAAGCATCCCGAGGTTGGCGCATCTCGTTGGGCGTGGAGAAGCATTGGGAACCCTAATCTCTTTCTTCGGAGCAATTTCTTTTCCCGTTCCCTCGCCCCGGCATAGCGCTTCGCTTTTGGTTCTTCGGAAGAATCAACTGACTTCTCCCTTCATGGATCTAGGGGAAAAGGAACCGTCTACCAGTTGGGAAGCTAGACATCAAGGTTGTGGCTTGATGAGGATAACTAAGTTGACACGCCGGAGTTGGCTGCTAGCACAATAGGGTGGTGCCTTACCGTATTGCAGGCGCACGCACGGTAGCGTTCGTGGTGGTGCTTCAGGATTCCAATGTACTGTGTCCAAGATCAGAACGAGCTTGCCGGCGGACCATTGTCGTCCCATTCTTGAGTGAGCTGGAGCGCAGCCATTCTATCCACTGAAAACACTTCAAGCTATCGCTTTGGGTCGAAGCACTAAAAGAAAAGGACGGGAAACGCGGCGGCATAGGAACCACGGGAACCCAGGAGGGAGAAAGACGATGTACGGGATACGGGATCCTCGTAGTAGGCTGGACAAAAATCCAGCCGAGAGAGGGCAGCCTTTAGAAGCGAAACCAAGAGAACGCTTCGCGTTTTATTAGATTCTTCCCGTAGGAGTAGCACAAAAAGAGGGATTAGCATTATTTACCCCATGAGAAAGCACTAACACCTTCCTCGTTGGGGCTGGGCTCCGCGCACTGGGAAAAGGCTTCCGCGACGGGAAACCGGCCACTAGTGACGAAGTGAACCCCACGGAGCGGTATCGAGAGGTCCCTCACAGTCAGGTGCGAGACAAATTCCCCCCTATTAGTAAAGTACCCCTCTTCCTATTTAGGGGGTTGAGGCGAGAAATGGCTTGATGAACCGTTCCGTTCGCCACGCACCGGCCCCATTCACTTGCAACTCGTAGAGGCTTTAAGTACACAGTGCCCCACAACTTTCAAAGTCACGTGGGGTTGAAACACGAGAGTGCCTACCTACGAGCCGAGAGTGCCCGCCCTTTCTGTCAAGTAGGCTACTTTTTCCAGAATGCAGTCCGGGATAACCGTGACCGTGTATATATAGACAGATCTTTGATGCTGTCATTTTGGAATGACCGTGTGATTTAGGAAGGATATTGCTGAGTTTATTTTCTTAATGTTTGTTGTGAGTTCTTAATGGCGTCTAGGGTTTGTGGGAGAGCTGATTTACCTCTCGAATAGTAAGTTAATTGTATCTTGCTTTATTATTGAAGGAGAAATTAGAAAATAAGCCATATCTTTGTGTTTATATGTTGTTTTTTTCTTTTATTTGCTATTTTTACTTACAAGGCGTATCAAATTGGTATCAGAGCGAGTTTTTTTGAG